CAGCGATTTCTAATCCAAGGTACCTCAACCAAAGAAGAAGCACAGAGGCGAGCGATCCTTTCTAACTAACGGTGAGCAAAGTCCTGAAAAATCAAGCCACGTTTTATTTTTTTTAGAAATCAGAGAAGGTATATTTCAAGATATTCTAAAACACACCCGGATTTTTTAAATGAAACAGCCTGGCGGAAACCGCCGGTGGTTTCAATGGTTTTCTAAGTCTAGCTATTTGGCTAACGTAGCTAGCATAGTAACCATAGTAACTATGATACCGGTTGCCGTATACTGTAGTTAAAGCTACAGTAAGGTTGTCGATTCGTGCTAAGAAACTCTTATTTGTGGTTTTTATGGTCTTGGCAGATAAAGAACAGTAGTTAAAAAAAAGAATCTCCGACGATTACATTTCATAGAGCAGAACTGAATATAGTCCGCCCCAATCGGTAAAGCTAACTGTGCTAGGCTTTTGAGCAAATGCACCTCGTGGACGTTTTCGTCCTCCAGAAATTAACAATTTCCCTATAATATCCCTAAATCCGATATCTATCATAAGTCGTGTCTAGAAGTAAGTGCGCCTGCCTCGTCTCGAGACTCTGGAAGTGCAGTGGAGGTCCGGGGGGTGGTGTAAGAGCCGAGACGTTTATGATTAATCAGGGAGAAGAACTCTTCTGCTTATTTTCACGATATTGATGGCCCACAGTGTCAACATTTAGATTACAATGCATAAAATACATAAACGCCACTGAAAATACATAATAATACAAGTCATATATCGACATTTCTAACGAGATAGAGATTTGTGTGCGTCAGATTTGATTTATTAGGTAAATTCCTCTTGAACCTAATTTTTATTTTTCTACTGCACAGCTTTTCCTGGTTCAGTGTTACGTACCGTTCAAATGACGTGTGTGACACATATAAATGAGTCCCCTGCTGTACACTGCAGGCAGTGGGTCTGTTTTACTTATTTGACAAAGATCTGAGCATTTTCCTGTTATTTCTGCCCATTTGTTAAACTATAATCTCTGTTTCATTAAGTAAACGGTTTCTCTCCGAGAAAAAAACAAACAAACATGGTTTGCATACTATATATTTATTGCCATGCTTTAATAATTAATGTTGTTTAACTGAAAAATATTCACTAAGCATTGTTGTTATAGATAGTGTTCAATACAGTATAGTTCAATAGCTTTTGGGTAAACAGTTTTCTAGTGTGGAAACCAATAGATCTGTAAACCAAAATAATATTTCTCCACTCTCTAACCTACCTACATAATTTGTCATAGATTTGATTTTCTTACTTTGCTTTTAAGGATCTATCACATTGCCAAGATTTCTGTGTTTCTCAGAAAAGCTGGATTTGGATTTCCTTTGCAATTACATCTCCAAACCCTCAACTGCACTAATTTTGGTTTTTGTCATTATACGATCAGTCAAAGTCAAACCTCGATTTCCTTTGAACCCACTCTATCCCAGTGTGGCTCCTGTTTCCACATATATAAAAAAGACAAGCAGCCACGCCTCTGAGTCAGATATTGTTAACATTCTTCATCATCATTACTGCTTTCTCACTTAGGTAGGATCTAATAGTGTCTACAGTTATGCCCTCTCATTGCTTCTCTAAGCAGTCAGGTCAACTTCCAACACATGAAGTCCTAGATCCCTTAATTAAATCATGGCCCGCCAGCCATCCCAAGTCTACCAACCATATATCTGATTTGGCAGTCGAGACCTGTCTACTTAATTGTCTCTATATCCTCTGAAAGGCTTTTAAGTGTCTGCCAAGCACAGGCAGCCATGGTAGATTTATCCTGACACCTTGCCTACACTGCATGCAACACTAATGTTTAAATACCGCTTTACAGCGAGCCAGTATGTTGTGTGTAAATCCAAATAGTGTTTTAATTAGGAGGGTTCATGTTTTAAAGAATAAAAATACTGGGTTTGTATATATTATGTATTTATTTATTTATTGCAGGTCGCAGTTTAAATTCTGACTTTTTAAAATTTCAGTCTGTGCTCATTCCTGGGAGGAAGGATGCCGCCATTGGGGCACTTACACATGGAACATGTCCTGCAGGCAGTCGGTGTCTTGGAGGCGGTCATCCTTCGCAGTTTTGGCCCTGAAGGAGGACAGGTGCTGTTCACACGAGACACGGGACAGGCGATGTTGAGCCGCAGTGGGACACGCATTCTCACGGCACTACATCTGGAGCATCCGTTGGCCAGGTTAACAGTCAAACATTTACTTGAATGATTATACATATTTTTCTAGGTTTAACTCCTTGGTGACGTGTTTGTGTGTTCCTCATTTTAGGATGGTGGTGGAGTGTGTCTGGAAGCATAGCTCTGCAACAGGCGATGGATCCAAAACCTTTATCCTGCTGCTGGCGTCATTGCTACGGTTGATTCATGCAGCAGCCAGCAAGGAGTCTAATGTGTCACACTCTTATAGCTCAACAAAAGCAGCAGAGGCTTCCACTGCCAGACACTTGGCTGACAAACTGCTAGCATTTGGGTTGAAGGAGTTGGATGAGCTCATTGCTACGGGAGTGGTCCCTTATGGAGGCTGCATTTCGTGGGAAGATTTCACTGTGGAAGCACAAACGCCATCTCTCACAAACAATCTCTGTGTTCAAAAGCTGCTAAGATCATTTTTTCACACACGCTGTGGTTACACGCACTGTGACTTCAGTAGTCACCTCACACGTGAGCTGCTCAGTCACTGGAAGTTTAAAAATCAACTACCTTCATTCTCTCTGCAGCTTGTAAGCGACTACTTCCCTGCCCTCCATACACCTGTGTCGGGCTTTCCTGTCCGCTCTTCACGTTTAATCGAGGGGCAGGTAATCCACAGGGACTTTGCCACGCCACCGCTTAAGACTGACCACCAGCCAGTTAAAGCTGTAGTTCTCACCGGGTCGCTGCAACCAACATTGCTCAGCACAGGAGACGTGCTTGAGTTGGGATGTAGAGGCAGAATGAAGGAGGAGAGAAGTATTTTACACTTTAGCTCCTGGATGGAAAGCTCACTGCAGGGTATTATTGCGAAGCTGCAGACTTTGGGTGTTTGTGTGCTTCTGTCTGCAGTAAAACAGTCTGCTGCTGTCCTGGCTTTAGCCACACAGGCAGAGATGTGCCTTGTGGAGTGTGTCAGTGAAGATGAACTTTCTCTGTTTTCCCAGCTAAGTGGAACTACTCCAATCTGGGACTGTTCGATGATTGAATCAGAGCACGTAGCCACACTGGCTTTTTGCAGGCCGATACAGCTCGGAGCCCACAGGTATAAAAAACACACTTCGTCTTGAGTAATGTAGTGTGCTTGTATAATGTTATAGATAGCAACAGGAAGTTTAGCATTATCTGTAATCTCCAAAACAGGAGTTAATGCTGTTTTGTTTAGTTTAATGTATGGGTTTTGTCTCTTCCACAGGTATGTCCATGTGGCTTTCCAGGACTCTGAAGAAAGAATCACCATCAAACCCTGCAGTCTGATCATCTGTGCCCCAGGGGAAGGACAGATTGAGCAGTATGCATGTGCTTTACAAGATGCCATTCGCATGCTACTTAGAACTTGGGAGCCCATGCATGCAGCTGCAACCACAACATCAAAGAGTACCCCGCAGTCGCATAAAGGTGCATCTTTACATACAGACAGTCTGACCGAGCAAACCACATACAGATCCATCGCTATACAGCCCATTCAAAAGTGTGTGTTAAAGCCAGGCTGTGTTTTATCTGCTGGTGGGTTATTTGAGCTTCTCTTACACTATGCCCTCCTACAACATGGACATAGTTTCTCAGTTTCTCCTGACCTAAATATAGATGCTTCTGTTTCCCAGCTCTTGGCAAATGCCCTACTGAGCGTGCCTCAAAAGATTTACTCTCACAGTCCGCACCATTTCCTGGAGTCTCAAAGAAGGGTCATAAGTTTTGTTAGTAAGTTTCCAAAAGATTCCCACCCTTTTAGCCTTGTATATAAACGAGAAAATACTATAAGCCCTATACAGGTCGAAGGGCCTCTGGGGGATGGTAAACTAAGCTTGCATTGTTGTAGAGAGGGTGACAAATTGTCAAAAGTTTCAGAGTTGGATCTGGGCCTTGAATCTGTCTCCTGTAAATACCAGCTACTTCTTGCTGTATTGCAGTGTGTCGCAAGTCTCCTTAAGGTGGACGCTGTCCTGCCTACACACACTGCTTTACACACACAGTCGCGTAGACTCACCAGGACTTCCTGGGAGGGTACAGAGGACGAAGGCGAAGACTGAGATTGTGTCTTAGTTAAGATAAAAGCCATAAACATATTTTCTCTCAGTGCTCCCTCATGTCAAAGATGGAGTAAATACTTAGCACTTTAATACATTTTTGGCACAGTGATTTTTCTATACCCACAAGATATATCCAACTATCTGTCCATTCTCTTCCACTTATCCTTGTCAGGGTCACGGGGGAACTGGAGCCTTTCCCAGCTACCATAGAGCAAGAGGCAGGGTACACCCTGAACAGGTCGCCAGTCTGTTGCAGGGCTAACACATAGAGACAGACAACCATTCACACTTACATTCAAACCTATGGACAGTTTAGAATGATCAATTAACCTAACCCCACTAACTGCATGTCTTGACTGCATGACTGTGGGAGGAAGCTGGAGAACCTGGAGAGAACCCCTGCAAACACAAGGAGAACATGCAAAATCCACACAGAAAGGCCCCGACATGGTGGTGGAAACTCAGGAACATCTTTTTGTGAGGCAACCAGTGCTAATCACCTTGCCACTGTGTATATTTTGTTCCAACGAAATATATTTTTATTGCAAGACACAGATGGTATTTTCAGTTTTATGACCATGTTGTGGTTGGTTGCAGTTTCTGTGGCAGTAAAATGTTAAAGTGGTCTATAGCATCCTGTCCTGAATCAAGGCAAGGTCTGGCAGTAAAAAAGAAGGCATTAAACACTGTTGTAATACGGAATGTGCAGTTGCGAAATATTTTTATGTGTTGCAAACCTTCCAAGCGAGAATGTGTTAATGCCTTTTTTCTCAGTATTATTCATATTCATAGATTTTCTCTAAAATTTCTTCTCCTTTTCTATTTTCCTGGCCTATTCCCTTGCTAGTTTGTCCCTTACACAAACAGTTTAAATACAGATCATCTCACAAAACACAGTCCTTTTTTATAATCAGTGTTATCTCCAAAAAACGATTGAGCCATTTAGAAGGGCAACACCCGGCTGTCAACAACCAAATCATAGCATGCTTCCTTGTGCTGTAATCAGAGGAACGCAAACTCTATTTACTTCTATACTCGCCGCTTTTTAGATGGAAACTGTGAGTCATAAAGACATTAACTAGTCATACTGTTTACCGTAACTACCGTGTCATTAGTTTTGAAGACAAAAATTTTCCATAAAATATTTGTAACAGCACAATTAAGAAACAAAGACACTTCTTGTCTTTGTTTGTGTTCTAAGGGAGTCAGTCAGCTGATAGCTGCCAATATCAAAGAAGGGGAAGCTGAGGGAGTTTTCCCAATGTTTTTTTTTCTTTTTCCTACTGCGAAAAAGGAAACAAGCTTGAGTGTAGCTGTCATTGTTGTCAGTCCTATGGAGACACCTACGCACGTCTAACTCTTGCAGCATGCTGTATCGTGAGCAGCTAAATCTAAAATGTAAATAAAGCTCAGTCTAACAGTGAATCAGTGTGACTCTTATATTTTCATTGTAGTTATGAATGTTACCAAGTGACCTAAGAACAGGTGCAGTTAAATGTTCTCCAACTTGTTTACTATTACAGCGTTTGGGAATAATTGCAGGTCATATTATTTTATGGTCCACTTTTATTTCTCTGTTTAAATGCTTAAATGCTCCCTTGCTGGCACGTTTTATTTTCCTATACTGAATTGTTTATATTTTCTCTATAAATAAACTTTATGATTGTTACAGTAAACTCATAGTCGACTCAGTACATTTTAGTTTATTTGGCGCTTATTGTTAAATTTCGTCTCTGTGAAACAGTGCATATGATATAAATCAATCTCTAAATTGAAGAGAACACTGCAAAATGCATCGTCAAACTCAACGTAAAAATATAAACAGCTAACATTAGAAATCTTACAAATACAAAAAGGAAAACATTTACAAACACAAATCAGGATAAGGACCAGGAACAAATCAAATGTCATGAAAATAAAGGAATCAAGATGCTACTCTAGCACCAAGCTGGTTAAAGTTAACAGCTCGGTATTCAGCTGGCTACTCGTCACCTTAATTTTACTTAAGAAGTTGCATGAAAAAAGGAACTGTAAAACTGCTGCGGCTGTGTTGTGCAGAAGTGTTTGCTTTTTTGTGTTTGTTTTTTTATATCTGGACCATGTTCTTGCTAGTAGATGACCCCAAGTGACAGCAATAGAAATGTTATCAGTATACAATAGTATCATGTTTTGTTTAGATAATTAGCTGTTCATACACTAATTTCAGTCAAATCACCACAAAAGTACACATTTCTTTTTACTACACTGCCACTGAATAACAGATGACACCCATTTTAAAATTGGGCCTTATAACCACATAACAGCTATCTAGTCCAGGAAAGTGGGCCTAAGCATCAGCAGCACAGATAAGGCTGACGTATAATGCAATCAGAAATATGTGCACCCAGCCTAAGCTTAGTTTATCCCCCCCTTTAACGAGCAGTGTTTCTACTGGCAGTGGAGAGTCGTGGGACTCTAGGAATGACATCATGCAACATTAATGAGGACTTCGAGAGGGTGTCACACCACCTCCCTGGACCTCCTGATGGCGCAGCACAGGAGCATGCTAAAGATCATCCCAAACACCTGTAAGAAAGAGTGTTACAAGTTTTGAGCTCATTTCTGGACTGTCCTCATTCAGCACAATAGCATTAAGAGTTAAACCAATCACGCCCTCACCATAATGACCCCGATGGCAATGCCTACTCCTCCTATGATGTGCAATTTGGAGTTAAATACCTCTTCAATGGCATCAGGGCAGCTCTGCAAAAGATAGTAATGATTTCTTTGAGCTTTCTGAACATGACTTGTGGGATGGTACACATAAAAGACAGCATGAGGACATGTGGGCTCCTGTAAACCACCGTTGCTATAGTAACGCTGCAAAGAGACTGGGGGATTGCTCTGCAAAGGGAAGATTGACAGACTTATGACACACATTGGACCATGATTATGCATTTGATTTACGGTAATTGCCACAGATCTCAGAGAGATGAAGCATGCCAGCATGCCTCTTGATTTCTCCATTCTCCATCTCTATACACACACACACACACACACACACACACACACACACACACACACACACACACA